CCGAGCTTATAACAAGAAGGTTAATCCTCGGGCTTTCGCCATTGGAGACTTAGTCCTTACGCTCGTTTTGGGGTCAGCTAAAAACCCAACACATGGAAATCTTGGAGCCAATTGGGAAGGGCCGTACAAGGTAACCTAAGTAAAGGGTAGTGGGTATTATGAACTCAAAACTTTGGACTATAAAATGGTACTGCGCCTCTGGAATTCTATTAATATGAGAAANTGAAGCTATGCATTTGAGCCTATAGAACCAGAACTTCCTTGCATAGTTTGGCATACTCTTCATCCGTAGACTCCTTCTTTGCTAAAGCAGAAGCTCGAGCATGGATAGCATCTTTCATGACTTTGTCTTTCCAGNAGTTCTATTTCTAGAAAGTGCCTTTTTGAAAAATGAACTCTGATGTGCCTTCGGGAAAGGGTGTCTCTTATCTTAAAGATTCAACAGGATTAATTCATGATCAGCAAATTCTTTGCAATGTAATGATAAGACTATGAATGAAAGCTCTTAATAAAAGTTCTTAAGATACATCTTTCGGTTTTCATTACCAGATATGTCCTATTGCTAAAAAAGGGAGGCAAAAAATCCTAATAGAAGTGTAAAATTAAATCAAACGCAGCCACCAGATTGGATCTAAGCCCTCAGCTAGGCATGATGATATAAGCTAAATGGGAAGGACTTGAGCCCGATTAGATTGGCAGGTCGGTGCGGGGTAGAAGCAGTCTCCGAAAATGCCCAAGGGGCTAGAGCCTAACTCTACCTGATGACTGAGCTCCTTGAAGAAGGGCCGAGTAATGGCCATAACTTCTAGAGCTTAAGATTTTTTAAGTAATTAAAAGTCCCTATATTGGGGCCGAGCTCTTTGAAGAAGGGCCGAATAAGGGTCATAACTGCTAAAGTTTAAACCTTTTAAAATTAATAAAGAGGCTTCTACGATTGAGACCTAACATATCGAAGAAAGGTCGAATAAAGGCCATAACTCTTGAGCAAACACAAAACCAAAGCAAAGAGCCATAAAAAAACTTTCATTACACTTCAAAAAAAAATTAAAACGTCATTCCAAAAATTTTTCAAATATTTACATCAAAAAGTACATAAATTTTCTAAGTGTTTTCAAGAAGATGGGGGCTGGGAGAAGCTAGGAAGAGACTAGCGAGAATAAACCTCAAATGACTATGGAACTCCAGCAGTAGTTAGGGTGGCATGCCAACCCTTGCTGAAGTATGCCTTCTCCAACAGTGGGATCTGCAGAGGTAAATCATTCTCTGCATTCTCCATTCCTTGATCATATGCAGAGTCCTCTCGATCCTTAGCCTCAACCTGAAACTTATCAAATTCTTCCAGAAGACTATCATGATCAAGTTGGGCTTGGGAGAGCTCCACATTTGCTTCGTGTTTGGAGTCTTTCAACTGCTCAACCTCTGCTGAAAGCTTCTTGTTCTCCTCAGTGAAGCTATGCATTTGAGCCTATAGAACCAGAACTTCCTTGCATAGTTTGGCATACTCTTCATCCGTAGACTCCTTCTTTGCTAAAGCAGAAGCTCGAGCATGGATAGCATCTTTCATGACTTTGTCTTTCCAGGCTATTCTTGCCCCTACTTCATGGACTTTTTGAAGGCCCTTCAAGATAAAAAGAGAGAAACTTGGACAGATTACTACGCCTCTAAAGAAAAGAAAAAAAAAGAGCAAGTTTAACACCATAACCATATGTTGGATTGCTTGGTGAGCAACTTCATCTTAGACAAAGCCTCATTCACGGCTAAGTCCCAAGGAAAAATTACCCCCTAGCAATCCCCAGAGTAACATTAAAATCTTCAATAGCAAAATCATTCACTGTAATCTCTCTCCTTTTTGCTTTGAGTATAGGACGAAAAGGAGGAATGACAGGCTTAAGAGATGGGGCTACATGAGACTCTACAACTTTGCGTCTTTTTGGGGCTAGGTCTTCAGAAAGTTCAAAAATTGAATCAGCTTGGTTGTTGGGGGAATGAACAGGAATTGGAGGATCAAACTCAGCAGGAACAAAAGAATCTGTGGCCCGAACCAAATCAACTGGTTCATCTTCTTGTAGAACCATATTGTTTGGCTCGAGAGGTACAACTTCGGTAGGGGCTTCAACTATAGGCTCCTTTATAAGTCCAAGATTAGAAGGAGCAGGTGGATCATTTGGCACAGTCGATTCAGCAGAGGGGTTGGCTCAATAGTTGATAAAAAAATCAAGAAAGTTCCTAACCGTCATGTTTCTTCCAGAAGAACCAGGCAACGGACGCTTGCGGGAATGAGGGTTGATCTCGAGCTGACTGGATAGCCTGGCAATCTTCAGCAAGTACAGAATTGGGCCGAGGTGGAACAGCAATAAAGGACATGTAGGTAGGAGTGTGCCCGAGTAGTGTGTGAGCAGCACGACAAAAGAGGGAATCATTATAGTCCCACACTCTCTTCAATCTTCCATCTTGACAGCCTAATCAGGGATCCTTTCCTTCATAGTCTCGCCTTTTTAAAAAAAAAAAAAAAAAGAAGATGAGATGAGCAAAAACTGAAGATGAATGAATCAAGAAAAGTAAGGTAAAAATGGCAATCACCTGGTGTGCCTTCCTCATAGGGACAACGATAGGAAGAATTAACGTCAGCAGCATACTCCCAGTTTCTAGAGACAAAGACCACATCATTCTCATGGCCTTTGTTTGAGTCTGGAAGATGGGTCATTAATTAATGATCCTTCTTTCTCACTGCAAATGTAGTAGTTGTCTCCAATCGATTTGACAATGTAACAGTACAAAATCTCCCATAAACCAAGGCTTAGGTTCAAAAGCCTGTTCAAAGTAGCTACACCCATCACTATTCTAAAAAAGTTGGGACAGTATTAGATGGGGGCATAGCTTCATTACTGATAGCACCCAGAGAAGCAGGGGACCAAGGGGGAAACGGATACTGCCATTTGTAATGGCACGGGTATGAATAGAAATGCTATCTTTGGTACCAAAAAAGGGTTCATCAGTACCTGCCACTCAAATATCAACATCGACAGGAATGTTATACTTGGCTTTAAGGCTAGAATCTCATAGGGTATTAGAGGTGCCATAGCAGAAGACGATGAAGATGCAGATAAAAGTAGAGGAGTAAAGAAGCAAAGAGGACTGAAGTTAAGAAGGTAAGGTGGAGAAAAAGAATCAAGAAGGTTGCTTATAAGGGAGTGAATTGAAGTCTAAAAGACAATATTTGAATATGGACATGTCGCCAAAATGAGGGGGGATGTCCCAAAAGTATGCGCAATAATGGATTTGGGGGCATGAAATGACTGACAGACGAAAAGCATTTACCAGACGTTTCTTGGGGGCAAATGAAGGGGGTTGCTCCCTATACGCCACGTGTAATAGCATTTAATGATCATCTGTGAGAGTGACAAGATCAGTCATGTGAGAAAGGTACCACAAGTCAATCATCAGCCAATAGTTATGCTGTCAAAGAGCTCGGGAATAAAGAGAAGAGTTCGGTCCTTGGTGTGACCGAGTTGTTAAACTAGGAAATGTGATGCTAAAAAGGTGCCTGAAACTTAGGCACTCTGATTGAACGAATGAACATGATTATAGGCTCGGCTGAAGGAATTGCTGGAGAAATCTCAACAACTTCCTAAACAGAATTGCCTGATTGAAGGAAGGTGTACCACCTTGAATCGAAAATCATGAAAACCCTAACTAAGTATAGTTCTATAAAAGGCATAAGGAGCCGAGGTGAAAGGTACGCTGAACTCTCCTTGTCTTCTTGCAATTGACTCAGTTCCATTATTGACTTAAGCATCGGAGTGCCTTCGATCGAAGCACTTTGATCTTGGAGAGTTTATTCGCTTTGCAGGAAAGAAAGACTGGGAAATNGAGGTGAAAGGTACGCTGAACTCTCCTTGTCTTCTTGCAATTGACTCAATTCCATTATTGACTTAAGCATCGGAGTGCCTTCGATTGAAGCACTTTGATCTTGGAGAGTTTATTCGCTTTGCAGGAAAGAAAGACTGGGAAATCAAGTTTAGAACTTGCACTTTTCAAAAACGTCAATCCTTCATTCCTATAGGAGGTACTCTTATATTTTGCCACTTACACCATCCATGAAGAGCATGGCAACATAGGATCAGCAATTCATTTCAGCAAAATGCTTCCACTAATGGCTCCACAAAACATTACTTGTATGAGACATGTAAAACATTTATTGGAGAACTACTTGGTGTAAGTTACTTTTAGCAAATATAAACTCTTTAAAGTATAACTAATATAATATGGTAAGTTTCAAAATACTTGTTGTATATTTATTCCTATAGAACTAAATGCATAATATTGCAAAACCTCGCAAAAAAGATGTCAAATCAAAGCATAAAACCCGAAGAATGTCAATTAAAAAAAGTGTTCTTTGAAAGCCACGAGACATTTGCCATATTCATTACTATAGGCTTAGTCATCTTGATAGGAAACATTACCCAAATATGCAAACTACACATTGTTGTCATGGACCTCAAAATAAATACTGAAATAAGACATATAGTCTGACCCAACAAGATAAAAGGGTTCCATAAAATAAAGGGTCTTTTGAAATTTGGTACACCAAATTCACAATAATTGTAAAAAAATACACAGAAAAAAAATGTTTTAGAAAAAAGTAGACTACTGAGATACAAAGACGTAAATGCCTATTTTGTAAAATTATCTTTCATAAAAACTATGAAAATGCATTTATCTTAACTGCTGAAATTTAGGTACATTTATTTCAAAATCTCTACATCTTTGTGTATCATTATACTCCTTCTTCCTCACAAAATCGATTCATCTTTTTTAGAGAAAACTTCACAACTATTTGTCTTCCATAAAAAACTTCAAGGGTAGGGTGCCGACTATGATATGTGCATCGATTGACAAAGGATTTGGAGTTTCCTCAGCACAAACTCAAGATTGGTGAGAGGTTTTTTTGCAATTAGAGTTTTTTCAAATAGTCTCCACTGATCTTCCTTATCGTGTTCCTAAGCTTGAAAAACCAGATCATGATAATCTTTGTTTTCCTCAGGCTTTGATACTGCAAGAGAAAATCTCCATAGATTTCCAAAGGCATGATCAGAAAGGGGTGGATTCATTTTGGGCCTCAAGTTCACTACATGAACTGCAGCAAATAGCTTTTTTGAATCCATTTTAGCTTTGGCATTGACAACCTCCATGAAATGGCTCCAGATGAAAGTTGAGACGGCTTCAACCCGAGTCGGATCCTTCACCGTTGATTCAGTAGCAGAGCATGCAGATTTCTTGAGGGTTTCTAACTTTGATTTATCAAACACAAATCTTCGGGTCACAATTTTCTCTTTGCTTATGATTGCATTTAGATCGTTGAACTTCGTCATTCCATGTACTTTTTTTTTTTGTATTGACATCGTGGGTTATCCAAAATCAAAATAATTTTGATTTTGGTGTTTTTTTTTTGGCAAAAATTTCTTGTTCCCTAAACATCTATAGAGTTTCTACCATATTAATTCATTATGGGTGAATAAACTATGTATATTTCCTAACTGTTGACTATGTTTCTCTCACAATGTAACAATATACTGTAACAAAGACAATATTTAGTGATTTTGTGGATATTCTAACAAATTCAAAACAGATATGGATTGTTTGAATGAAATTATATACAAATATATGTTCAAAAAAATGTAATAGTATAATATTTTTTCTAAGTGTCTTATTACACTGTTATTGTTATACTAATACGGTGTTCGCATATTAAAAAATAAAATAATCACATTTAAAATAAAGAAATATACTGTTGCAAAATTTAAAATTCAAGTCAATTGATTTATCCTCACAATAAACGGAAGACTCAAAGAATCAAATATTCCATTAAATTAGAAGATATTTAATGCATATAGTTATCCTAAAAGATTTTAATGCATACATTTATCCTAAAAAAATGGAAGGATCAAATTTTCCATTAAATTAGGAGATTTTTAATGCATACATATAATCTGAAAACAAAAATCAGTTTCCAAAAATTAATCGCATGAATTGAGGGAGCACAAATGTCAAAGAAAAATCCAAAATTTTCAAATTATATACTTGGACACAAATAAAAACTAAAATTCAAGACTTTTTTCTTCTACTTTTTTTTCTATGTACATTTTTTTCTGTGTACGTTTTTCCTCTACATTAACTAGATGTTTAATGCATAAATAAACAGAATATTAAAGTAATCTCATAAAACTAGGAGATGTTTGATGCATAAATGTAATTTGAAAAAAGAACCACTTTCCAAAAAAAAACATGCATGGATCAAGGGATGTCATAAAGGTCACAAGAAAATCTAGAAATTTCAAATAATGTACTTGACCACAAATAAGTATCAAAATTCAGAACTTATTTACTTTATTTTTTTTCTGTGTACTTTTTTACAATTAACTCTAATTTGGTGCACCTCCTTCCAATTTCCCCTAAAATAAACTTCTCCAATATATGTTATAATTAAGCCCATAATTTAACAAACAACATCCAATCTCTCCCCCTCTCTCCCAACTATTGCCAAAAAGCTCGCCCAAATTAAAGGTGTGGCCTTCTCTCCATTAAAGGAGAAAGTGATGCTATTGGGACCTAAATATCTAATTAAATTTATTGACTTAATAATATTGCCCTGACATGATCTAATCATCCACTTTGGTATCTTATTGAACAAAAATGGTGATTAGCGGTTTTATTATAACTGTTGATTTTTTTTATTAAGACTCTATCACTTAACACATCATTAAATTAGCGAATTAGATCAGTTTTTAGGCACCAATAATATTACTCTTTGTCAGAAAGGAAACAAAAGGTACTAATGAATAAAAGATGAAATGCAAATCATCAAATTGGCAAGGGCAGCTCAAGTGGTAACAGGAATGAGCTGTAAATATAAACGTCCTGAGTTTGAATCTTGGTAACCCCTTGAGGTCAGGCCATGAGAGATTTATCCCTTATGAATAACCTAATCTCAGCATGGATTTTTTGCCTTTGACCGGACCGAGGGATATGATTTCCTCCATACCTTTCACTTGTCACCTTTACCTTTGAAGACCTCTCCTTACCTTGTTTTGTGCCCATCTAATCCCTTTCAATGGCATCTAAACAAAAAAACAAGCCACTCAATACTCTTCTCCTATTCCTCTTTGGGATGTCCCTCATATTCTTCATTTTCCTACTAATCTTAGATATGCCATTTGAGACTATGTAGATGACAATATTCTTATCCCCTCTTTAGATTTTGGTTCAAACTTTGCATTGGGCCCTGCCTTCGAATCAGACATCTTTCTAGAATTGTTTGAGCACTATCCCATTTCAAAAAATGATATCTTGACACTCCATCGTCCTCATCTTCGTTGGAAATCTTGAGACCAAGGGCTCACTCCATTAAAATCTTGGATTGATCTAGACCACAATGGTCTGACTGGGTGGAGCAAATGGAGGCATATTTCTGTGACCAATGGAAGGATCAAAGGATTTATGAACAAATAAAAGTCCCACCGAGCCCACTATACCTGAAGCANTAATAGTATAATATTTTTTTCTAAGTGTCTTATTACACTGTTATTGTTATACTAATACGGTGTTCGCATATTAAAAAATAAAATAATCACATTTAAAATAAAGAAATATACTGTTGCAAAATTTAAAATTCAAGTCAATTGATTTATCCTCACAATAAACGGAAGACTCAAAGAATCAAATATTCCATTAAATTAGAAGATATTTAATGCATATAGTTATCCTAAAAGATTTTAATGCATACATTTATCCTAAAAAAATGGAAGGATCAAATTTTCCATTAAATTAGGAGATTTTTAATGCATACATATAATCTGAAAACAAAAATCAGTTTCCAAAAATTAATCGCATGAATTGAGGGAGCACAAATGTCAAAGAAAAATCCAAAATTTTCAAATTATATACTTGGACACAAATAAAAACTAAAATTCAAGACTTTTTTCTTCTACTTTTTTTTTCTATGTACATTTTTTTCTGTGTACGTTTTTCCTCTACATTAACTAGATGTTTAATGCATAAATAAACAGAATATTAAAGTAATCTCATAAAACTAGGAGATGTTTGATGCATAAATGTAATTTGAAAAAAGAACCACTTTCCAAAAAAAAACATGCATGGATCAAGGGATGTCATAAAGGTCACAAGAAAATCTAGAAATTTCAAATAATGTACTTGACCACAAATAAGTATCAAAATTCAGAACTTATTTACTTTATTTTTTTTCTGTGTACTTTTTTACAATTAACTCTAATTTGGTGCACCTCCTTCCAATTTCCCCTAAAATAAACTTCTCCAATATATGTTATAATTAAGCCCATAATTTAACAAACAACATCCAATCTCTCCCCCTCTCTCCCAACTATTGCCAAAAAGCTCGCCCAAATTAAAGGTGTGGCCTTCTCTCCATTAAAGGAGAAAGTGATGCTATTGGGACCTAAATATCTAATTANGGTCACAATTTTCTCTTTGCTTATGATTGCATTTAGATCGTTGAACTTCGTCATTCCATGTACTTTTTTTTTTTGTATTGACATCGTGGGTTATCCAAAATCAAAATAATTTTGATTTTGGTGTTTTTTTTTTGGCAAAAATTTCTTGTTCCCTAAACATCTATAGAGTTTCTACCATATTAATTCATTATGGGTGAATAAACTATGTATATTTCCTAACTGTTGACTATGTTTCTCTCACAATGTAACAATATACTGTAACAAAGACAATATTTAGTGATTTTGTGGATATTCTAACAAATTCAAAACAGATATGGATTGTTTGAATGAAATTATATACAAATATATGTTCAAAAAAATGTAATAGTATAATATTTTTTCTAAGTGTCTTATTACACTGTTATTGTTATACTAATACGGTGTTCGCATATTAAAAAATAAAATAATCACATTTAAAATAAAGAAATATACTGTTGCAAAATTTAAAATTCAAGTCAATTGATTTATCCTCACAATAAACGGAAGACTCAAAGAATCAAATATTCCATTAAATTAGAAGATATTTAATGCATATAGTTATCCTAAAAGATTTTAATGCATACATTTATCCTAAAAAAATGGAAGGATCAAATTTTCCATTAAATTAGGAGATTTTTAATGCATACATATAATCTGAAAACAAAAATCAGTTTCCAAAAATTAATCGCATGAATTGAGGGAGCACAAATGTCAAAGAAAAATCCAAAATTTTCAAATTATATACTTGGACACAAATAAAAACTAAAATTCAAGACTTTTTTCTTCTACTTTTTTTTCTATGTACATTTTTTTCTGTGTACGTTTTTCCTCTACATTAACTAGATGTTTAATGCATAAATAAACAGAATATTAAAGTAATCTCATAAAACTAGGAGATGTTTGATGCATAAATGTAATTTGAAAAAAGAACCACTTTCCAAAAAAAAACATGCATGGATCAAGGGATGTCATAAAGGTCACAAGAAAATCTAGAAATTTCAAATAATGTACTTGACCACAAATAAGTATCAAAATTCAGAACTTATTTACTTTATTTTTTTTCTGTGTACTTTTTTACAATTAACTCTAATTTGGTGCACCTCCTTCCAATTTCCCCTAAAATAAACTTCTCCAATATATGTTATAATTAAGCCCATAATTTAACAAACAACATCCAATCTCTCCCCCTCTCTCCCAACTATTGCCAAAAAGCTCGCCCAAATTAAAGGTGTGGCCTTCTCTCCATTAAAGGAGAAAGTGATGCTATTGGGACCTAAATATCTAATTAAATTTATTGACTTAATAATATTGCCCTGACATGATCTAATCATCCACTTTGGTATCTTATTGAACAAAAATGGTGATTAGCGGTTTTATTATAACTGTTGATTTTTTTTATTAAGACTCTATCACTTAACACATCATTAAATTAGCGAATTAGATCAGTTTTTAGGCACCAATAATATTACTCTTTGTCAGAAAGGAAACAAAAGGTACTAATGAATAAAAGATGAAGTGCAAATCATCAAATTGGCAAGGGCAGCTCAAGTGGTAACAGGAATGAGCTGTAAATATAAACGTCCTGAGTTTGAATCTTGGTAACCCCTTGAGGTCAGGCCATGAGAGATTTATCCCTTATGAATAACCTAATCTCAGCATGGATTTTTTGCCTTTGACCGGACCGAGGGATATGATTTCCTCCATACCTTTCACTTGTCACCTTTACCTTTGAAGACCTCTCCTTACCTTGTTTTGTGCCCATCTAATCCCTTTCAATGGCATCTAAACAAAAAAACAAGCCACTCAATACTCTTCTCCTATTCCTCTTTGGGATGTCCCTCATATTCTTCATTTTCCTACTAATC